TTTTTTTAGTCTGAAGTCTTTCTTTGGCCCCTCAACAACATATGAAGAAAAAAAACAGAAATGATTTTGATCAAATTAGCGTGCAATAAGTCAAAAATGTATGTTGGTGTGGTCTTCTACTGGCTGTTATCAGGTATATCTGAATGTGTAAAACAGGGGTTTGAGCAAAGCTTTTACCACTGAATGATGCAGAAAGTCTCACATCCAAAAGAAACCCGATCAGATATGATATATTTGGCTTTAGAGGGTTAAATCTGTCCGTGTGAGATTGCTCTCAGCAGATAAGGAAATAGCTGACTCCTGTTTCAGGTTTCCCCCGGCGGGTTTTCCTTGGGGGGTACTGTGCCCGGGGGGGGGGGGGGGTTCTTATTTAGCTTTAGGCCCCAGGCTTTGTTTGGGGACTGACTTGTGTGTGTTGTACACAATGACTCTGTTTACACTGGATCCAGTGGTCCTGTTTACCCACGTGCACACGTTCACGTGCACGCTCACGTGCACGCGCACGCTCGTTTTTTTCTCGGTTGGACTCTTGGAAGCAAAGCTTTTTGCATTTGCATGATGTTTAGCCACCTTTGAGAGCTAGCTAACATACAGTGGGGGAAATAAGTATTTGAGCACTTGCTGATTTTGCAGGTTTGCCCACTTACAAAGAATGCTTATTTTTCCTCATCAGATGGTTATCAGTTTTTATAAATTCATATGATGTGATTTTCTGGAATTTTCTTTGGGATTCTGTCTTTCACTGTTAGAATGTACATATGATTAAAGTTATAGATCGTGGCATTCTTTGGGAAATAAGTATTTGAGCCCTTGCTGATTTTGCAGGTTTGTCCACTTACAAAGAATGCTTATTTTTCCTCATCAGATGGTTATCAGTTCTTATAAATTCATATGATGTAATTTTCTGGAATTTTCTGTTAGAATGTACATATGATTAAAGTTATAGATCGTTGCATTCTTTGTAAGTGGGCAAACCTGCAAAATCAGCAAGGGCTCAAATACTTATTTCCCCCACTGTATTTGGGAACAAAAAAATAAAGACTTCTTTTCCTATTCTGCTCATTTTCTACAGTTTTCTGTGTGATTTCTGTGCTGTTCCACGTCCCTGTGAAGAGGAGGAACACTAAAGCATCATGGCCTTAGCGGGATGCCCAGACTACTTCTTACGTCACTCAAACTATCAGGTAAATATGTTTGTGTGTGTTTGTGTGCTTGTTGGAGCGTGTGAATCAGGAAGTTCAATTCTAATTGGAGTACTGGACATCAAAGGAACTTTTTTCTTTTAAAGGGGACATATTATGCAAAACCAAGTTTTTAATCATGTGATTGTGTACATTTGGGACTGTGGAGGGCCTATCAGCAGGAAAAGGGTGAAAAAAAATGACTGGGTCATGTTTTTGTGGGCCGCCTCAGTCTGAATCCAGGAGATAAATCAGGAGGTTTCAGGAGTGGGTAGTTTCTGACCTCATTAGCTCTAGCTCCTTATAATATTCCAGATCAAATTAGTGTGCAATAAGTCAAAAATCTATGTTGGTGTAGTCTTCTACTGGATGTTATCAGGTATATCTGAATGTGTACAACAGGGGTTTGAGCAAAGCTTTTACCACTGAATGATGCAGAAAGTCTCACATCCAAAAGAAACCGGATCAG